TGCAGAGGGCTATCTGCTCACTGTGTCCTCGTGGAGCTCCCATTCAGTGCATGGGGCAGGAGGAAGCGAGCACTCTGGTGCCTCATCCTATGAGGGCACGAATCCCGTCGTGAGGGCTCCACCCTCAGGACCTCATCTTAAGGAGACACTTAGGAAGATACTTAGGAAGAAACCATCACATTGGGGGTTAGGGCTTCAACATATGTCTTTTTTGGAAATAGGGCCTTTAGGAGGTGATTAAGGTAAAATGCGGTCATAAAAGTGAGACCCTGATCCGACAGGATTAGTGTCTTTATAAGAAGAGACACCGGAGCTCACGTGCACGTCCTCCTCCCTCCCTCCGTCCCCACCACGTGAGGACACAGTGAGAAGGTGGCTGAGAGCTCTCATGAGAAACCACACACTGCCGGACCTTGGATGTAGACTTCAAGAACTATGAGAAATAAATTTCTGTTGTTTAAGCCCCTCAGTCTGTGGTGTTTGTTATGGCAGCCCTGCAGGTTATACACCATTCCCTACCTAGGGATGGGTTTTGCAGCGTGCAAGAGTTTCCAGCTCCATTACATCCATTTTCATCCCTATTTTATCCATGTGGCTTAAATGTACCAGCCTCTGAAGTCAAATTTTCTTAATACTCCAAGAACCATCAGTTTGCTCCCATCAGTGCAGATGTCCATTTTCTGCCAGGTTCCCCTCCGCAAGTACTTCTGGGTCTCCTGCCCCAGGACATGCTGACAAGTCCCCCAAACGCCTGCTGGGTTTGCATTTACACGTGCTCCACTCTGCTGCACATGCTGGATTCCCATCAGTGAGAGCTGAACCCTGGCTCCCACTTTAAGTCTGTGCTGAAGACTGGAAAACGGGAAGAAAAGTGCAGCCAAGAGGCTTGTCTCTGCCATCGGAGGCGGCCCTTCCCAGAATCCAGGGGCAACAACACCTGGCACATCTTGGGGGGAGGTCTGCCCACCTGTCTGGTGCCAGTACTTTGGAAACTTCCTTGACCATCCCAGACCCTTGGCCATGTGGCCTCTCTGCCCTTCAGGGAAACCCCACCATCCACTCCAAGAGCTGTGGTTTGGCCCTGGACCTCACTCAACGATTCCTGGGTCATTGGACGCCTCGTTCAGGCACCATCCATGAGGATCAGCTACTTGGATCCTCTGCATTGAGCCAGGTCAGGTCTGATAACTGCACACCTTTCCAAACCTCTCTGCAGCCTCCACTGGTCCTCACTCCTCCCTGAACGAGAAGCCACGCACACGTGTCTGTGCACCGTCGCCCGCGATGTGCAGCAATGAGCCCCTCAGAGAGGGGTCTCTGGCAGCGGAACACACTTCACAGAGATGTTTGTTACACAGACGCACCCTGAGGTGCCTTTTGCGTGACTGTAGGTGCCCCTCAGAGCCTGAGGTCTCAACAGCCTCCCTCGCAGGGTTACACTTGCTTAAGCGAGGCCCCCAGAACAAAGTCTGGCTGAGGCTTCCAGGTGAACTCAGGGCCCCTGCCCCCCGCAGCAGAAGTAATGTCAGGCTTTGAAGTGACAGGGCTTCGGAGACCTCAAAGCACCGAGGGCCACATTTAGCTCCCGATCTAGCGTCCTGTGGGCCCTCCTGCAGCGGCTTTGTGCAGAGGACACATCTCGCAGGCTTGTGGCAGGGGGTGGGGTCTGAACTGGGGCAGAGGGGCGTCTGTTTGTCCTTCCACCCCGAGCTCCCGAGTCCGCCTTGACCGGCCTGCCATAAGCTCTCCCTCAAGTGCCCACTCACAGCTCTGAGTCCTGGGCTCACTTGAGAAGCTGGCTTTGGGTGGAAAAAAGCCAGAGGCAGCTGCAGTGGTAGTTTCACGGGTTGTTGCCCCCCACCAAATATCTCTGTGGCACTTTTCTGTGGGTCTTCGAATCCTCTCCCCCCCTCGGCAGTGGGGTCTCATGGTGGCCCTGGAAGGTCACTGCGCACAGCACAGCCTACCCTCTAGGGTCAATGGAGGGTGGTCTGCTGTGGGTATCACCACCATCCCCACGTGGTTCCTACATAGGGGCATCCCTGTCCCTTTCTCGTGACTGTTCTGCACACCAGGCACTCCTCACACCCACACGGTTGCTCTTCTCAATTTCTCTCCTCACTGTTCTCTCACCAGAATCCTTTTTAACCTCTGTTAGTCACTACAGGTGCCCACCAGGTGTCAGCCATTTCACGCATCTGTGCAATCTCTGTTTATTTGAGGTAACAAGGCTGCTACCTCACTACAAATGTGGTTAGTATCTTGCAGCAGCTGCGTAGCACCCGTACGGTGGCTCTTAGCTTCGTAGGGTCCCCAGAGAGATTCAGTAGGAATATAGTGGCAAATGCCGTCGGTGGACCAGCATTCTCCATGCAAATGTTCCCTGGGGAGGGTCAGTCCTTGCCCCTGAGGGGATGTGGCCCAGATGTGGGTGGCTTCTGGGTCAGCAGAAGATGGCTGTTGAATCAGCCTTCTCAGGCTGCCATAACAACATACCACAGACCTGTTGGCTTTCACAACAGTTCTGGTGGCTGGAAGTCCAAGATCAAGGTGCCAGCAGGGTTGATGTCTGCTGAGGGCTCTCTCTCTGCATTGCAGAGGGCTATCTGCTCACTGTGTCCTCGTGGAGCTCCCATTCAGTGCATGGGGCAGGAGGAAGCGAGCACTCTGGTGCCTCATCCTATGAGGGCACGAATCCCGTCGTGAGGGCTCCACCCTCAGGACCTCATCTTAAGGAGACACTTAGGAAGATACTTAGGAAGAAACCATCACATTGGGGGTTAGGGCTTCAACATATGTCTTTGCGGGGAGACACAGTTCAGTCCACAGCAGCCATCAAGGAGCAAGGATGCCCCCAGTCATCCCTTGGCACCCAGGCCACAATGGGGCTGTGCTCAGGACTGTGGGGGACTCAGGAGGACGGGGTGGCCCAGGCCAGCGCCTGGCTGTTCACACTCTCCAGGAGCTCTGGATAGGTTCGTAGGATTCACGTGGGATGAGCCATGAAGGAAAACTCAGATATAACCTGGGAGAAACGGACTCACTCTGTGGGTGGTCAGAGAAGGGAGCGGTCATCAGTGGAGGACTTCTGGAGAACTGGCTCTGTGTCTTCAGCCTGTTAGTGGTCACCAGGTCTCCTGCGCTGGGCCACACAATGTGTGCACCGGACTCAGGGCCTTTGGAGGCAGCTCCAGTGTCATGGTGGTGGTGGGACAAGATGGCGGGAGCAGGGTGGAGTGGACTCAGAGCTGGAGGGACCACAGCCTGTGGGGTCTGTGTGGCCCAGTTGCTGTCCCAGAGAACCAAGTACCCAAGTGGATGTGAGGGCTACATTTAGACCCTGCAGGGTCTGGCTCCTGGCCACCTGGGACAGGCCCCAGCTGTGCTCCTGGGACAGGCCAGAGGGTGGATCTCTGTGCTCCCAGACTCCGTGTCCAGGTGGCTTCTTCGACATGGTCCCTTCATAGTTCCTTTGACCAAGATTATTGGGTCACCTGACAAGGGCCATCAGCAACCAGCTCTTCTCTGAGGTCAATAAGGGTAGCCCAAGACAAGGTCACTCAGCATCATCGAATCTATTTATTTGGCAAATCAGATTATTCAAATTAGTTTTCCAGTTAACTGTCCTAGGTTCACACATGTACATATACCCTGTGTATCTCAGATTTTTCCAGATTAGGAGTACAAATAAGGCCAGACAATGTCCCTAAGCCTCCACTGGTTTTAGTAGTGAAAATTTCAGCCTCTTCCACAACTAAGTTCAGCCGTCCCTAACTCACTGACTGCCACTTGCTGCAGGGTGGGCCCTGGATGCGTCAGCACAGTAGCCTTAACCCTGACCCTCTGCCCCTTCTGTGCCTGCTGGGCCTGACGACTTAGCCCAGAGTGTGGACCCTCCTGTAGAGCAGCCTAGCCTGCAGCTCCGGGCCTGTGCCCACTCCCACAGACCCTGATGGGTCCTCTGTGACATGCAATCCAGGGTGGGTCCTCATGGGGAGAGAGAAGAGGCCCATCTCCTCCCCCTAGCGTGTTGGGATCAGTCAGCGGTTCCCAAGGCTCACCTCCACAGTTGTCACATCAACCCCAGTGTGCCGCATCCTTCCAAGGACCTACAGCTAATAGTTACGCAGCTTGTGAGTCTATACTCCCCTCCGGCCCTCTGTCGCCTGGCTCGGCAGAGTCATGCTGCCCACAAGACAAGACTGTATGTTTGCAGACATCACTGGGGATGATGGGTCATCAGGGCCCCACCATCCCTTTCCTCTTTAGAAGCCTGTCTGGCCCTAAGCACACTGGTAGATACAACTGCAGCATGAACCGCGCCACTCAGCTCCACTGGGCAGGCTCCCAGCTCACAGTGCAAAGAGAGAAATTGGAGGTGGGCGGTTCCTAACTCCACCCACCCATGGGCTCTGACCCCATCCAGCCCAGTGTCCTGCTGGATACATGTCTGGCTTTCTGAGACTAGCACGAGTGTGCCTCGGCCCAGGATGGCCATGGGACTGTGCAGCCTGTAGGCAGGTGGAGGAGTGTCCAGGGCTTGGAGCAGCTGGGCGGGACTCATCTCTGGGTCTGCGGAGCTCCTGCCCCTGGCTGCCGGTTCATGGAGGCCCAGTCTGAGGGGCGGGAGCCTCTGGTCCTGGCCGTGATCACTGCTCTGCACCCATTTCTACCCTTTCTTCCTCACCCTTCCCTCCAGCCCCACAGAGTGCCACCTGACCACTGACCGCAGGGGAGGGGGGAGAAGGTGGGGCTTCTGCCCTTATATGGCTCTCAGTCAAATTGAGGATTCTCAGACAGGAAGCCGCTCTGCCCTCCATCCTTCCTGCTGGTCTCACACCCCAACCCCCAACCCCCAACCCCTCACAGAGCCCCAGCGCTTCAAGCCTGAGACTGTTACCCAACCTCACCTCCTCCTTCCTCAGGGTTTTATCTAAATCGCCCTCTTCCCCCCCCCCACAGTCACCCCTCCCTTCCGTCCACCGCTTAGCGATGGACACCTCTTCTCCTGCAGGTATAAGGCGGTTGCTTCTCTTCCTAAAGTACCCCCCCCCCCACCGTTCACATTGTCTCATTTGTTACTTCTCATCCCACTCACTCCGTCTTGCAAACCACCCCACAATTTATCCTGATCACCATTTCACTCTCCGGAGGCTGAGTCAGAGGCAGGCTTTCAGCTGCCACCACTGCACCTTCTCTAGAGCATGGGGGAAGCCCAGTCCAAACTATGATTCAATCGTTTACAGTTTCCAACGAGGAACTGCCAAGAGCCCTGTGTCGTCAAGATGGTTCCTCTATTCCTGGCTGCCTCATCTTCTCCCTCCCAGCCACTGGATGGGGACATCTCTGTGGACGGTGCCACCGTGGCCAGCTGCCCAGCCAGGACTCAGGTGGGCAAGACAAACACCTTGTTCTCCTCTGGCTGAACCGAATCAAGCCTGATTCCTTCTCATCATTCTCAAGGAAACTAAACCTAATCAACAACATTGCAGCCTGTTCAAGAGAGCAAACTGGTCATGTCCAGGAATTTCCCACTCCCAGGCTTGTCTCCACTGCCTCTCCTCCCCCGGGCCAGAGCTCAAACTCCACGCCGTGGACGCCCCAATGGCAATGCGGGAGGGGCTGCCCGGTTCCGGCCCTTGGCCTGTCTCCTACCTTTCCCAGGTATATCCTGCCCCCTCGTGGCTCTCAGGTGTCACCAGCGCCTTTCCGCTCCGTCCCCACTATTTTCACAAAGTGTCCACAGCATCACAAAGCCTGGTCCACACCGGCCCACCTCAGTCCCTCTGCAGCTTTGTCCTGGGCACAGGAAGGTTTGGCTGGCCTTCCAGGCTTTTCCAAGGCCCATAGAAAACTCGGGGCTCTCTGCACATACTTGCTCTCCCCAGTCACACATTCTGCTGGCATCTCTGTGAGGTCATGGGCCAACAGAGCTCCAGAAGAGACCAGAAAGTACAACTGCTCCACGCCGGGATCCCCAAACCAAAAAGGAGCTTGGTCCATCCCTCCCACTCCATCTCTCCTCCATGCCAACCCTCTTGATTCTCTCTCCTAACTCCTCTCTCTCTTCCTTTCCAGAATCTTCTAGCCTAACAGAAGGACAGAGGAGAGCTGGGAAACAGCCTTATTCAGATGGTCTCATTCTCAATTCTTCCGACCTCATGCTTTTTAGGCTTAGAAATCAAGAGCTCACCTGGGTCTTAAGTTCTTCAGAGCTCCCCAGACACTGAGTGGTCTATATCAAGTTGTCTGGGTGCTGGGGAAAGGGTTTGGGGTCACAGTGAGCAAAGATGGCATTCAAGTGAGCATCAGAGGGACGGCACACCAGTAAATGTGCCATGTGTCAGCCCCCCCATATCAGAGCCCTAGGAAGAGGTATCTGCTATGGAATTCAGACTGAGGTTTCCTTCCTCCAAGCACAGCTTTCTTCCCTTAGCCACGGTGGTCATGGAATTCTGGAGGACCAGCTGGACCCTGGAAGGCTGGTGGGCCATCATGTCCATGCGGAATTCTTTGATGACAAAGTAGTAGCAGAAAACATCCAAGCAGCAGTTGACATTGGAGAAACACATGGACAATTGCAGGAACAAGATGATGTTCTGCCTGGCTCTGCACTCCACGATAAAGCCATTCCTCACCAGGAACTGCAAGAGGAAACTCAGGTGGACTGGGAGAAAGGAGATCACAAAGACAGCCAGACTGGCCGCGATGGTCCAGATACAGGCCTTCTGCTGGACCCAGTCCTGGGTGTGGTCCCGACGGGCGACCAGAATGCAAATGCTCCTGGAGGAGCAGAAACCCATGATGCTCATGGGAAGAAGGAAGCCGAAGACCTCAAGAGGGAAGAAGACCTTGGTACTCCAGGTGCCGTCAGACATGTTGTGGAAGCACGTGTAGTTTTCCACTTTCCCATGGAAGCTATAGATAGGGGTGCTCCCCACCCACACCAGGACCCAGATGGTGCAGCAGATCCCAAAGGTCTTCCTGGGGGACCGGAGGTGGCTGACCAGGAGCGGGTACCGGATGGCCAAGAATCTGTCCAGACTGATGAAGCAGGCAGTAAAGATGCTCCCATACATGCTAATGAAGTAGAGGCACTCCACGAGGGTACAGAAGGGCAGAAGGGGAGCCTTCACGTGAGACAGGGCCATCTTGAATGGCAGAGAGAACACCAGCAGCAGGTCGAAGACCGCCAGGTTGATCATGTAGATGGAGGTGGCAGCGTAGCAGGGCCACCTCTTCTTCAGGAAGGAGCTGAAGCCTCGGATGGCGAGCAGATTGAGGAGCAGACCGAGGAGGAAGGTAGGGGTGTGGACAGCCAGCTGCACGGTTTTCATCAGCACCTCCACGTCATGGAAGGAGCAGTTCTCACTCTGGCTTCGCTGGCTCATGTTCCTTCCTACAACGTCAACGGTAGATGAGATGAAGTTCCTCTTACTCTCTAGAACTGATGGATTCACACGACTTGGTCAAGAATCATAAACATGACCCCTTTCTCACACAGCAATCTATGCTCTTTGAATAACGATCAGAAAACACAGGACGAAAAATTACCTCGAAATCTGTGGCCCAGATAGAACCACTGTTACTTTACGTATATGTGTGTGTATGTGCATATATATATATATATATATATATATATGTATATATCTGTGTATATATATATATATATATATATAAAGTATATATATAATTCCAAACTCTTTCTGTACACACACACACACGTGTGTGGCTTTATCTTTAATAAAAACAGAATTGTGCACAAGCAACTGTCCCTTTTTTTCCAATCAGAAGTCTTTCTGTTGAAAGTAGTAACAACAACATAAGCCCTGACCCAAACTGGTTTCATCAAAGAGTGAATTTCACAGAACTGGAAACATGAAAACTAGGGCAGGGCTGACTTGAGCTGCAGATCGTACAGCTTCAAATGCTCTTTTCAGGACCCAGCTCCTCTTTATATGTTGCCCCTCTGCTCCACCCCACCCCCACGCCTAAGGCTGGACAGAGCTCACCCCACCCCCGAATGTAGGGCTGGTGGCAATCAGGGCATCACATTCCCCTGGACACTGTCATCGGTCCATTTATAGGTCCAGGGATGAACAATAGACCCAGAGGCGATGAAAAGCAATGAAACTCTTGCTTGGGTTTCTAGGAAGGGGGTTGGGGCTTTGGAGTTGGGAGGATAAAGTCTGAAGCTGCTAAAGCCTCTTGTTCTCCGAGGAGAAAACCAGACAGAAATTGGAGAAACATGGAAGAAAGAACATTCCCAGAGGGAATGAAGTAAGGGCTTGAGGTCTCCTCAAGGCAAAGAAAGGCCTTTGGACAGGTAGAAAATTAGAGCTGGCCTCAGGGACAAGATGATCAAGGCTGCAGCTGTGGCTGCAGATGGAAGCTGGAAGCCAGCAGAGAGAGGGAAGTCACAAGCCCTTGGGAAAGAAGGAGCTGAGTACTTTTAAGACCCTATAGAGAATGCCATTCCAAAACCCCCTCTAACTGCTAGCAAAAAACAAAACAATAAAGCACATTTATCTCTCATCCATTGAGCACTATATATAGTAAATATGTAATATACATTATTTAATTTGGTGGCTTTCCAAAAATTCTACATTTTCCTATGTGCTAACTTTTCTTATAGGTTTATGTCATGAGAGATCTAGGAAAATGTATTTGCTCACATCCAAAGCTCCAGGCTCCTGTGGTCTGTGTGAATGGCACCTCCTGAAGGTGTGCAGCATAAGCCCCAGGTGCACCTGCCCCAACACTAGGGTGCCTGGAATAAATTAACTGCAGGCTGGCAGGCTGCCCCCTCCCAAAAAACATGCCGAACTATCCACCAAGAGCATCTCAAACAATAGCTAGAATAGTTTGGAACCGACAAGATAAATTTCAAAAATGGTGAGAAGGGGCTTCCCTGGTGGCGCAGTGGTTGAGAGTCCGCCTGCCGATGCAGGGGACATGGGTTCGTGTCCCGGTCCGGGAAGATCCCACGTGCCGCAGAGCGGCTGGGCCCGTGAGCCATGGCCGCTGAGCCTGCGCGTCCGGAGCCTGTGCTCCGCAACGGGAGAGGCCACAACAGTGAGAGGCCCACGTACCACAAAAAAAAAAAAAAAAGAAAAGAAAAATGGTGAGAACAGGCAAGAACCCAATTCGATCCAACTGAAAGGTGTTGCAGCACCAAAGAGGAAGACTCATTTGGCTCAGAGAAGTCACCTTCAACATCAGAAACAGCAGAAAACCAAGAACCGCAAAGATAAGAACAAATACAAGCTTGTGCTTAAAGGGATTCGACAAGACTGCAAAAAAAGGAACTTGGGCATCTGTTTTTGGCTGGGTCATGCTCAGGCAGACTCCATGGGTGAACCCAGCGCACATCGCTGATGATTCAAAGATTAGAACTGAAGTGGCCAAGAAAAAAATCGGTGATGCTCAGAGATAAACCCAAACTCAAGCCCACAACATGGCTGAATTGAACAAACCGATGCAAAACAGAGAAAAATGGCCTGACGGAAAGCATCCATTCTAGGATGCTGGGATTTGTCTGAATTGATTGTACCAGGTGTTTGTGTGGAAAAGAGACAAAACTCAGCTATCAGCGTCCTTCAGCAGGACGATCCTAAAGGTCACATTTGAATTGCTGAATTACTTCAGTTTTTAAAAATACTTATTTATTTATTTATTTACTTGGCTGTGCCGGGTCTTAGTTGCAGCGGTCTCTTAGCTGTGGCATGTGGGATCTAGTTCCCTGACCAGGGATCGAACCCAGGCCCCCTGCAATGGGAGTGAGGAGTCTTAACCACTGGACCACCAGGGAAGTCCCCTGAATGACTTCAAATGGGAGCTTTTCAAACGGTAATTTTTGAAGCTAGAAAAGCACTCTGTGGACTAGCAAAAAGAAATTAGGTTGAAAAAAATACTTCCAGCTAATGGTAGAGTAAGCAGAAACTCTAAAAAATTAATCCTCTGAATTCCCTCTGAAAGTTCAAGGAAACCATCTTTTAAACAATCTTTTTTATAAAATGATCAGGAACTTCACTGGAATAAGATAAAAAGGCTTCAGGCTGCAGCAAGAGATAAAATACTCATTTTTTTCTCAAAGATGGGCTGCCAGTAAAAACCAATCTACTTGGTATTAGGAGCCAGCAACCTCCCCACTCTTGATCCGTTGCCTGGGGCTGTCGATAGCTCCTGTTCCGGTCAACTCAGGGACCCACTGCAACCAACTGATCGCAGTGTAAGGTGGGTGGGTGGGAGGCTGTGAAGTGGATGCTTAGACAATATTAGACATTTGACAGATTTACTAGGGGAAAGGCCTGTGAGGGATAAAGGGAAAGGGATAGGCATGGACAGGGAGAGCCCTCAGACCACAGTGCAGCTCTGAGAATGATGGGCCAGGTCGACGGAGGGTCCCTAAGCACAAGTTGCCCATTGGAGAAGTTCCACATCTAGCAGGAATTTCCCAGGACCAGTGCTTCCATGGAGCCCAGTTGTTAGCTAGAAGCAGTCCAAGGTGAGCATGGCCCCAGCTGGGCTGTCAGTCACCAGGGCCCTGGTCCCAGCCTCATGCTAGGAAGGAAATAGAATGAATGGGGAAAGGTCATGGGTCAAGCAAATCGGGTCTGTGAATAGACGTGAAGGGCCTGAGAGGACCTTTGTTAACCACCAGCAGCTTGTGTCTGAGAGGTGGGGCTGCACTGAAATGAACAGCAGAGAAGATGAGAACTTGGGTTAGAGGAGCCACGTCTCACGCAAAATTTTTGGAAAGAAAACCACTCCCAGATGTCCCACTTACACCTTTAAATGTCATTAATACGGAACCTTACAAACATCTGTGAACAAACCAACCCAGTCTCCTGGAAACCTCTCTGGAAAAATAATTAATACCAGAAAAGTTTTGAGGGAGAAAATTTGAGCAACACGAATTCCGTGCCCAACTGGGTGGCTGTTCAGGTGTGAAGGTCATAGAAAGCCACACTCAGGTATGTGTGGCTTCCAGGAGAAAACTGCCTCCAGGAGGCAAAACTTTAGATCTCCAAGAGGTACTAACCATAAAGGATGCAAACATCTAGGTGGGAAAGCTTGGAGCTGAGCATTAAAAGCAGGAAACTGGAAAGAGAATGAAGCTATGATGAATATAGTTAAAGATTTAAAAGAAAAAACAGTAAAAGAGATCATCCATGTCTTTAAAAAAAGACAAGCTGTAATACCTCAGATAAATTAACAAAGAAGGAAGATGTTCTTGGGTTGAAGGAGGCAGGGGTGGTGGAGAGTACTGGAACACAGGCGGAGCAAATACTCTGTAAAACGAAAGTAAAAGTCATTGTTCTGGGGCTTCCCTGGTGGCTCAGTGGTTAGGAATCCGCCTGCCAATGCAGGGGACGCGGGTTCAAGCCCTGGGCCGGGAAGATCCCACATGCTGCAGAGCAACTAAGCCCGTGCACCACGACTACAGAGCTTGCGCTCTGGAGCCCGCGAGCCACAGCTACTGAGCCTGCATGCCACAACTACTAAGCCCACGAGCGTAGAGCCCGGGCTCCGCAACGAGAGAAGCCGCCACAATGAGAGAGGCTCGTGCACCGCAGCAAGGGGTAACCCCTGCTCGCCACAACAAGAGAAAGCCTGCGTGCAGCAACGAAGACCGAAAGCAGCCAAAAATAAATAAATAAATTTATTTTTTGAAAATGAAGAATACACTTTATAAAAGAAAGTCATTGTTCTGTTTTTTTAAACGTGAATTTTACAGAAAGCATACGTTTTTTGTTTGTTTTTTTTTTTGCGGTACGCGGGCCTCTCACTGTTGTGGCCTCTCCCGTTGCAGAGCACAGGCTCCGGATGCGCAGGCTCAGCGGCCATGGCTCACGGGCCCAACCGCTCCGCGGCATGTGGGATCCTCCCAGACCGGGGCACGGACCCATGTCCCCTGCATCGGCAGGCGGACTCTCAACCACTGCACCACCAGGGAAGCCCTGTACGATTTTTTAAACCTTGAAGTAACCACTGACTATTACAAACAGGATGCTTATCCTCAAAATCACTAAAAAAGATAAAAGGAAACAAAGAAATCAGACAAAATAGCAAAGAAGTAAATAGAATGGGAAAAAGTACCTAAGCATAGAAATCACAGCAATAAATATGAAAATTTCAAAATATTTAAATTAACCAACATTTTCAGTTCAATCACAAAATAAAATTCGACTCTTTGTTGCTTATAAAGGACACACTTACTTAATAACAGAGAAATATTCAAAGTAAAAGTCCCACGATGAGATAGAGGACAAATATAAACAAAAGGAAAGTCAGAGTGGCAATATTCATACCTAGCACTGTAGAATTAACAATAAAACTACATATCAGGATTAAAAATTTTATCTTATATTAATGAAAGAAAGATCTTAAAGGCAAATATAGTAATCTTATGCACTGAAGGTTGTTGTATAAAAGTACATAAAG